CTTCGGCAACGGGAGATAGAATATAAAATTCTTCCTCTCTCGTTTCTTTTCCACCAGGAGATAGAATATGAAATTCTTCCTCTCCTCGGTCCTTTCCGATGCTCGGAGTGGAGATCCCACTCCCAGTTCATCATTCTGGATGCTCGGAGTGGAGATCCCACTCCCAGTTCATCCTTCCGGATTCTAGGGGTGAATATCCCACCTCAAGTTTCCTTTCCGCCTGAAGATAGAATATAAAATTCTTCCTCTTCGGCAACGGGAGATAGAATATAAAATTCTTCCTCTCTCGTTTCTTTTCCACCAGGAGATAGAATATAAAATTCTTCCTCTCCTCGGTCCTTTCCGATGCTCGGAGTGGAGTAAAATTCTTCCTCTTCAGCACCGGGAGATAGAATATAAAATTCTTCCTCTCCTCGGACCTTTCCGATGCTCGGAGTGGAGATCCCACTCCCAGTTCATCCTTCCAGATACTGGGGGTGGGGAATCCTCTTCGGCAACGGGAGATAGAATATAAAATTCTTCCTCTCTCGTTTCTTTTCCACCAGGAGATAGAATATGAAATTCTTCCTCTCCTCGGTCCTTTCCGATGCTCGGAGTGGAGATCCCACTCCCAGTTCATCATTCTGGATGCTCGGAGTGGAGATCCCACTCCCAGTTCATCCTTCCGGATTCTAGGGGTGAATATCCCACCTCAAGTTTCCTTTCCGCCTGAAGATAGAATATAAAATTCTTCCTCTTCGGCAACGGGAGATAGAATATAAAATTCTTCCTCTCTCGTTTCTTTTCCACCTACGTATTCGAAGTCGTAGCATTAAGTCTAAGGGAGTTCATTCCTTTAGCACAACGTTACATGCGGAACGGATTTCGACAATCCGCATGCTAGCCCGATTCAAACGGTGATCGGTAAAGGCATATCAAACCCGTTGATGGCTGGGGGTTTGCCAAAAATCCCATAAAAGAGCTCATTAGCCCGAAGGCAACAGACAAATCACAAGAAAGAAGCAAATGCGGAGTTTCTATTAATAGGTCAAGTCAAAAGCATACAACAAAGAGCTCATTAGCCCGAAGGCAACTGACGGCTAAGAATATGAGACTTTAAGCTAAAAAGTCTATCTGCATAACTCTGCTCAAGTCCCGCCTGCAGATCTGCTCGGGCAGATTCCTCAGAACAGCTCAAGATCTCCGCAGCTTCACTCTTCAACTTCATCAATCCCTCCTGAGTGGATCCGAACTCCTCGAGTACCCGGTCACGAGAACGCTCTAGTCCGATCAAGTCATCTGCGATAAGAACGGCGGATTCCTCGGCACGCTTCAAGGCCTCCTTCAACCTAGTCGCTTCCTCGCGATTCGAGTCCAAGGAACGGAGTAACTCAGCTTTCTCCCTATCCATCCTCGCCATGTTAGCCATTAGATGCGCAAGGGAGCTCTCGCGTGACTGAAGCTCACGCCCGACGGAAGATCTCAGTTCACGCCACTGCTCCATCCTATGCTCTAACTCAGAGGATACGAAAGAAGAAGCCCCGGTAACCTCCAGTTCCTTCAACTCTCGTATCTCTGACTCCAGGGCAGCGAAATCAGCAGTGAAGGAATCAGCCAGTTCCGGGTATCCTTCTTCCCTCATCATCGTCATGTGGCGAGAGAAGGAACGCCGGAACTGATCGAAGCCGCCTCCTCGGTGGAGAAGCTTCTCGATCAAGCCATTATACCAGGCGGTGAAGAAGCTGAGGTCCGTACGGAAAGCCTCTCCGTCAGGATCAGTATCGGCCAAAAGGCTACGGACACGCTCGTGCAAAGAAGATCGAGATCCTACAAGCAACAACTTGGAAGCTCAGTGAACTATCGAATATGAAAAGGAAAGTCAAAAGGCAAGTTCTGAACATACCGACACCAACAGACGTCCCCTCGGGTTGAGGTCCGACAGGCTCTGGGATAGCAGCAGAAGAAGGTACATCAGCCCCTGCAGGCGGAGTGCTCACACCACTCGGCAGAGACGGGGAGGCACCACTGCTATGAGGACTTTCAACCCCGGGGACTGTAGCAGTATCAGGCTGAACGCCTGGTCCTACAGTGACATTCCTATGTTAACCAAATGGAAATTTGGACAAATAAGGAGAATCGGGATAAGAAGGTCGTATGAATACCTGCAATCCCCATGTCCTCAGATGCAGCCGGAATGCCAAGAGTCATAAGAGTATCGGCCCAAGCTGCTGGTCCTATGATGACACTCTCTTATTAGTCAAAATGAAAATTTAGACGAATAAGAAGAATTGGGATCTGCATACCTGTAGATCCATTATCCGCGGGCATTTGAGGGATGCCAGGAGTCATATGAGAATCAGTCCTAGCGGCTGGTCCTATGATTGCACTCATTAGTCAAAAGACAGATAAACATAGGAAAGTACAATATCCCTGAATCGTATACATACCTGCAAGCCCGTCGCTCTGAGGCAAACTGGATATGCCAGGGATAGATACCGGGCTAACTCCAATGGTAGACGCTGCGATAATCAATCATTCATTAGTCATATGAAATATCGGGCAAGAGGGAGAAAATCAGATATATACCGGTAGATGAATCGTTCCCGAAGAATGGTCTCTCGGTCCCTCTGGAAGTCTGCTCAGCCAGCATGTCAGCTAATAAGCCGGCATCCGGCTTCGAGAAGCTTGGCCCCTCCATCGCAACATCTGCAGGGTAACCCAAATGTTGAAGGATGAGGAAAGCTCAAACGAGAAATCTTCCTTCACCTTACATAAGGAAAATGACATTGGATGCGGATATACCTGAATAAGGGATTGTGGGCTCAACATTATTTATCTGCTCAAGATCGATGTTAAGGTCGATGCCCAAAGACCCATCGTGAAAAGCGTCGCACATTTGTTGCACAAAGCAATCCATGTTGTCAACGCCAGGGGACGCCGAACCCGGTGGGAGTTCGCCCTCCTCGAAGAAACCTGAAGCACAAAACATGGTCACAAATCCCCAAAAGGTAAACAACCTTGAAGCAAGAGCAATTGAATGTTACCTCCCCCTCCATCGGCGGTGCTCCCTAAGTCCACTCCACAGGGACGCTGACCGTCATGGGACTTATGGGCAGTCTTCTTCCTCTTCGGGGCACCAACCCTCCGAGGACCATAGGGTCGAACATGCGCAGGCCTATCACACGTTTCAACGTGTGTAGGAGCTGAGGGCTCATGATCACCGGCTGTCCTACCTAAAATGACAATAGCCATTTCAATGAAAAAGAGCTGTCATTTATGGAAAATGAAAATTAAAAGAGATAGGACAAACCAGTATCGAAGTCCCCTCTGCCGGTATCCACGTCCGCATACTCGTCCTCGGAGTTCTCGTCATCATCACCCGCAGGGAGAAGTTCTTCTTCGTCTGAGACAAGAGATTTGGCATGCCCTTTTCTCCGCTTCTGAGCAAGCTCAGCTCTGCGACCAGCCATCATAGCAGCCCGGACCGCATACTCGGACTGCAACTCTGAGAGGCTCCTCGCGCTGATGGACTCATATGCAGAAAGGAACCACTTGCAGCTGAGGAAAGTGATCAATGGCTTACGCCGGTACGAAGGAAGAGCAAAACGGGCTCCAGTACAGCCCACCATCGTCCATAGCCACGCTCGAACGCCATCAATCAATCCTCCCTCAACCCGCAGGCTGCGGCTCGGATTCCCGACATACAGTTGGTCATAGCCGAATTGTCGAGCAAAGCGGCAAGGGAGATAAGGCTCTATGTGGCACTGGTTCTTCACCCGAAGGACGAGATAGCCTACACGGATGTTCACTAACCACCGGAAGCAACCAGCGTCAAGAACGGTCCGGTCACTTCTAGGTTTCTCCTCATCAACCAGCACGTCGCCATAGCGACCTGAAAAGTGAGGGAAACACTTAAAGAACTCCCAACTCTTGCGGACCCGGAGCTCTCGCTGAACATCACTAAATTTGCTCCCAAACCATCTGCTCTGCTCCAACAATTGCATGAAGGGGACAGGGATGTCAACAACGCTGGGGGCCGACATCAAGTCGGGACGGTGAAGAACGAGCCACGCCATCAAATATGCGTAAGGGAGCTCAACCTTTGGGCAAACCAGCTCAGCTGATGGCAGGAGTCATATGAGAATCAGTCCTAGCGGCTGGTCCTATGATTGCACTCATTAGTCAAAAGACAGATAAACATAGGAAAGTACAATATCCCTGAATCGTATACATACCTGCAAGCCCGTCGCTCTGAGGCAAACTGGATATGCCAGGGATAGATACCGGGCTAACTCCAATGGTAGACGCTGCGATAATCAATCATTCATTAGTCATATGAAATATCGGGCAAGAGGGAGAAAATCAGATATATACCGATAGATGAATCGTTCCCGAAGAATGGTCTCTCGGTCCCTCTGGAAGTCTGCTCAGCCAGCATGTCAGCTAATAAGCCGGCATCCGGCTTCGAGAAGCTTGGCCCCTCCATCGCAACATCTGCAGGGTAACCCAAATGTTGAAGGATGAGGAAAGCTCAAACGAGAAATCTTCCTTCACCTTACATAAGGAAAATGACATTGGATGCGGATATACCTGAATAAGGGATTGTGGGCTCGACATTACTTATCTGCTCAAGATCGATGTTAAGGTCGATGCCCAAAGACCCATCGTGAAAAGCGTCGCACATTTGTTGCACAAAGCAATCCATGTTTCAACACCAGGGGACACCGATCCCGGGGGGAAGTTCGCCCTCTTCGAAGAAACCTGGAGCACAAAACATGGTCACAAATCCCCAAAAGGTAAACAACCTTGAAGAAAGAGCAATTGAATGTTACCTCCCCCTCCATCGGCAGTGCTCCCTAAGTCCACTCCACAGGGACGCTGACCGTCATGGGACTTATGGGCAGTCTTCTTCCTCTTCGGGGCACCAACCCTCCGAGGACCAAAGGGTCGAACATGCGCAGGCCTATCACACGTTTCAACGTGTGTAGGAGCTGAGGGCTCATGATCACCGTGGTGGCTCATGATCATCGGCTGTCCTACCTAAAGTGACAATAGCCATTTCAATGAAAAAGAGCTGTCATTTATGGAAAAGGAAAATTAAAAGAGACAGGACAAACCGGTATCGAGATCCCCTCTGCCGGTATCTGCATCCACATACTCTTCCTCGGAGGTCTCATCATCATCATCCGTAGGTAGGAGCTCTTCTTCGTCTGTGAGAAGAGATTTGGCATGCCCTTTTCTCCGCTTCTGAGCAAGCTCAGCCTTGCGACCAGCCATCATAGCAGCCTCTGAGAGGCTCTTCACGCTCATGGACTCATAGGCAGAAAGCAACCACTTGCAGCTGAGGAAAGTGATCAGTGGCTTACGCCTATACGAAGGAAGAGCAAAGCAAGCTCCAGTACAGCCCACCATCGTCCATAGCCACGCTCGTACGCCATCAATCAGTCCTCCATCAACTTGAAGGCTACGGCTCGGATTCCCAACATACAGTTGGTCGTAACCGAACTGGCGAGCAAAGCGGCAAGGAAGATAAGGCTCTATGTAGCACTGATTCTTCACCCGGAGGACAAGATACCCAACACGGATATTCACTAGCCACCGGAAACAACCAGCGTCGAGAATAGTCCGATCGCTTCTAGGTTTCTCCTCATCAATCAGCGCGAGTCCGGGGCCCAATGGACTTCTGGGCACGGCGGAGAAAAGAGCGAAACTTGGTCCCCGCGGGAAAAGTTCCCTCAGCACTGGCAATAGTGTAAGATTGAGCCTCAGTCTTCTCCAGCAACTCATTAACCGCAGAAGGGGGCAATATATCTAGCTCATGAACAGACTCGTCGGAGTTACCCTCCAAGTTCTGGAACAAATAGCAGGCAAACTGTTTCAAACTGACCTGCCTCTTCCTCTTCGCTTGAGGAGAAGTCTGAACCAAGGAGGTGTGATAATGACAGGTAAGATCCCAGAGAGTGTCATACATGTCGGGAGTATCTTTCTTCATACACTCCAGCTGTTGGTTCGAGGGGAAATACTCCTGATACGGACAATCTCCCATCGGAAGACCCGAAACATAATGCATCTCATGCAAAGCTAGCCCTAGCTCACCACCACTGGTCAGAAAAGTGTTGCTGTCAGGCATGTAGGTCTCCAGCAAAGCCAAGAAATGGCGACAGCTGACTGGGATTCCGTACATAGTAGCTCGTATGGGCGCGTACAACCCATTGCTCTTCAGATCCCTCTCCCAGCGCGCTAAGACGAAATCAGTCATGCGAGCCCACCACCCTTTGGCTAGTGAGGAAGCCCAGCCATAGCATCTGTGTTCTGGTGGAGGTAACCGTCTCCCCAAAAGAGCCAGACGGTTACTCACAGTAGAGGCAGTTGCCGACACCTCGCCTGGGGGTGCAGTGTCAAGACCCATAATCCCGGGTCGAAGACCGCGAACATCATGATACCCGTTAGAGCCAGGGGTCTTGTGGTGAGTAACATATCCGCACTGAACCCGCTCAGCATCTTCAGTAAGAGGCCAAGACATCTGTCTGTCAACGGCCTGCCCCTTCAAGTGACTGAAGGAATATTGGCGTGGAATCGAAGGGATGTACAAACAAGCTCCACCATCAAAAGTCAGCCAGTGCTCCTCTTCAAGAGTCAATATAGCGGGGTCCTCAACATGATCCCCGAACAAGAAGCTCGGCTTCTGTAAAGCCTGAGTAGAAGTAGAGTCAGCGGTAAAGGTGGCATCTGTGATAACGGAAGAACGGTATGCGTCATCACGTGAATAACGTGGTAACATACACCGACCTATAAGGAGTAGGACGACACAAAATCGCCCCAATATACCGGAAGACTTGATTTGGCTAAGCAAAACAAGTCTCAAACCTTACCCTCCGCGAGAGAGGTATCGGTTCTTCCTTCATGACCCGCAAAGAGGTCAATCAGGGATGCAAAAAAATAATAATCGGCATAAATCCTCACCCCCGAAAAAGGAGGCCGCAGGGGAAGATGTTGAGGGAACCTCTTCCGCACTATGCTGAGAATGAGAACGACTCCTACGGGGTCGAGATCGACGCGGAGACATTGCCGATCTGCAGCGAAAAGCAACAAGTCAGGTACAATCTAAAATATGCATACACGAAATTTAAAAGGGAAATTGAGAACTTTAATTAAAATCCTATACATAAATAGGATTTCATAATTGAAGTCTAGTTAAACCTACAAATTTCATGCATGCGAAATGATGATTGTCATCTTTCACGGTGAATTTTGGTGAAATACCCAAAATACCCTTCGTGTTCAAGGCCAAAGTTTAGGTCAAGGACACGCGTGACCCGGGTCATGATCGTCACATTCGATCATATAACACCCCGGTACCCCACAATTTTGGTTAAAGTTTGCAAATGAGCCCTTTGCAGAATTTAGCCAATTTTGCATAAAAGCCCCTCTACAAAATCTTGGTTTGGGCTCCACATGCCTTTTGGATCATGAGTTCGTGGTCAAAACTCATTGGATGTCAGCCCTAAATCCGCTGCCCTATTGCAAATAAGCCCCTAAAACATTTATGGGCTGTTTTGCAAATTAACCCCTCAAATAACCCTTTGATCCTCTTGCATAAAGCACCCCTCACAATGTTTCACCAAAGGGACATGAATTCAATCCCAAAATTTCAGTTCCAATTTTGCATAAAAAACCCCACGAATTTCAGCCCCTATTTTGCAAACAAAAATTTCGGCCATATTGCCCCTTTTGCACAAAACCCCCCAAAATATAATGCATACACAACCCAAGCCTACTACAAGCCTAAAGATGCAATCTTTACAAGAAAATAAAAAGATTGGGAAGAAGAACTTACCAAATCGAAGAAGATTTTCTTTGAGCTTGAAGATGGAGGAGGGAACCCTATTTGGGTAATGCAAGCTTTCGGCCAATGGGTATCCGCTAAAATCCAAACTTGCTTAAGGATTGATGGATCCTTGAGAACAAATCAATGGAGGAAAGAAGCTTGGGGAAGAAGAATACACAAAACCGAAATGGGGGGGGAAGAGTTCGGTTTTGGGAGCCAAGTAAGAGGAGGAATCTTCTTTGAAATTTTGAAAAGAGGGGGGAAAACAAAAGGGGTAATAGAACCAAAACAAGGGAAAGTTAAACAACCAAAAAGAGAAAAAGACAAAAGAAAGGGGAGAGGGGGTGTCTCGGCCCCAAAACCGAGACACCCTAGGGTGTCTCGGCCTTGGCCGAGACACCCCAAGGTGTCTCGGCCAAGGGCGAGACACCCCCGGGTGTTTCGGGTCCTGTTTTGTCCCCATATGCCTCTTTTGGACCCAGATACGCCCGTTTTCGTCGATTATTGGATGTTTTGATGAAAATCAACACCAATCAACATTCGATGCACGAAACCCTAAGGGTCAACGCCGGTCAACGCGTAATCCTAGGTCAACGCCAGTCAACGCGTTGCGACAAAAATTCAACGTTCGAGGATGAAAATCCACGCCAATCAACGTTTGACGATTCAAAACCCTAAGGGTCAACGCCGGTCAACGCGTAACCCTAGGTCAACGCCAGTCAACACGTTGCGACAAAAGTCAACGTTCGAGGATGAAAATCCACACCAATCAACGTTCGACGATTCAAAACCCTAAGGGTCAACGCCGGTCAACGCGTAACCCTAGGTCAACGCCAGTCAACGCGTTGCGACAAAAGTCAACGTTCGAGGATGAAAATCCACACCAATCAACGTTCGACGATTCAAAACCCTAAGGGTCAACGCCGGTCAACGCGTAACCCTAGGTCAACGCCAGTCAACGCGTTGCGACAAAAGTCAACGTTCGAGGATGAAAATCCACACCAATCAACGTTCGACGATTCAAAACCCTAAGGGTCAACGCCGGTCAACGCGTAACCCTAGGTCAACGCCAGTCAACGCGTTGCGACAAAAGTCAACGTTCGAGGATGAAAATCCACACCAATCAACGTTCGACGATTCAAAACCCTAAGGGTCAACGCCGGTCAACGCGTAACCCTAGGTCAACGCCAGTCAACGCGTTGCGACAAAAGTCAACGTTCGAGGATGAAAATCCACACCAATCAACGTTCGACGATTCAAAACCCTAAGGGTCAACGCCGGTCAACGCGTAACCCTAGGTCAACGCCAGTCAACGCGTTGCGACAAAAGTCAACGTTCGAGGATGAAAATCCACACCAATCAACGTTCGACGATTCAAAACCCTAAGGGTCAACGCCGGTCAACGCGTAACCCTAGGTCAACGCCAGTCAACGCGTTGCGACAAAAGTCAACGTTCGAGGATGAAAATCCACACCAATCAACGTTCGACGATTCAAAACCCTAAGGGTCAACGCCGGTCAACGCGTAACCCTAGGTCAACGCCAGTCAACGCGTTGCGACAAAAGTCAACGTTCGAGGATGAAAATC